TTGCTGCTGCCTGAAGCTGAACTGCATCCAGCTGCCTGTGAGAAAACTGCCCATGTCTGCGGCTTGGACAACAGAGCCAAGAGGCAGCTACGGACTTCCCCAGCACCCTTTTTTCTCCTCAGTCTGTAGCTCTCCTAAAGTTTCCTCAGGGTCACGAGGGGGCAGAAACATGTTCAATTTTTCTTTTACCAAAAAAGATCACAGATGCTTCTACCGAATTATTAAATTTATATAGCCTCCCATGTCCCGTAGGACTCCAGATGGCACATTCAATTAAAAGAACAAAAACAAAACTATCGAAACAATTAAAACGCCAAAATCATTAAAATATGAATTAAAAGTTAAAAATCTATAAATAGAACAAAAAACATGGGAGAGTGCATTTCCAAACCTGTGAATCATGTAACTATTTTGAAGGCGCTGTGTTTCCATGGGACCCCAAGGCTGGATGACAAAACCAGGAAGGGCAACTCAATGCCATCTTGGGGTAAAATGTTCTAAGGGTGGAGGCCGTGGCAGAAAAGGTCTCCCCTCCCAGGTCCTGACAGATGAAGCTCGTTAGCTTACAGTATCCACAACATGCCCCTCCTGCCAGACCTGATGGGATGGGTGGAAGTAACCAGGGAGAGACGGTCCCACAAATAACCTGGCACCCTATCATATAGAGCTTTAAATAATGTCATAACCAACACCTTGAATTGAACCCTGAAGGTTTTCGCGGGTATTTGTATGTAGGTCTTTAGTTATTTCTTTTTCTGACAAAGAGTTAAAGAATTACATCGGGAGACTAAGAATGCCCCTAGTTGGGGGACTGCATGGTAAAAGATATTGTAAAAAGTAAAAAAACTGCAGTATAGCAGTTAAAAATGTCCAGGTGTTCTCAATCAGACCGGTCTGTCTGGGAAAAAAAAAACAAAAACAAAACAAAAAAAACCTTCCTGTATATTGACTCCTGGGTAAATTCATATTTGGAGAATCACAAACTGTGAGACCACCAGGAGATAAAAACTACAAAAAGTTTATTTACCATTAAAAACACCTAGCTTTCGCCGGCCTCCTGCCGGCTTCATCAGGGTGGCTAACCATCAGTGGGTGGCTGTTTTTATGGGAGTGGTGCCTTTTGCACCCGACTCCTAGATCTCGTGACCGGGCCCAGATAGTCCTCCTGCTTTGAGTTCTTAATTGTCCTTTCGCGAGTTGCTACGTTGCTACGTGAGCAGCAGGGGTGTGGATATGATAGAGAGGATACCCCCGCGCCAAGGGAACGACAAGAGAGGGTCCATAGGAAGAAAAAGAAGGGGTGTAGACACAAGGAAAGGAACATCGCTAACGGTGAGGCGATAAGAACGAACGTGGAGGCGCTGCCTGCGTCCCCGACGGCCCTGCACCGGAGAAATGCGAGGAGAGGAGCAATGGTCACACACACACTTATGGAAGAAGGGTTGAGTGGTGGTGTGGAGGGGAGGGAAAAGGAAGAGAGGAGATGGTTGAGGATGAGAATGAAGGAACAGCAAGAGTGGTGGGGATACGGGTGAGAAAGGAGTCAGACAGCGCCACGGGGAAAGAGGAAGAGGGAAGGAAGGTGGGACCGCAGGTGGTCAGGGGAAAGAAAGAGGTTGACGAACAACAAAACGAAGCCCTGGATGAAGGAATGCCTCCCCCTCCCGATGAACGAACAAGACAGGGAAAGAAAGGAGGTGGGAAGGAGAGAGTCAGGAACGTAGCAACTCGCGAAAGGACAATTAAGAACTCAAAGCAGGAGGACTATCTGGGCCCGGTCACGAGATCTAGGAGTCGGGTGCAAAAGGCACCACTCCCATAAAAACAGCCACCCACTGATGGTTAGCCACCCTGATGAAGCCGGCAGGAGGCCGGCGAAAGCTAGGTGTTTTTAATGGTAAATAAACTTTTTGTAGTTTTTATCTCCTGGTGGTCTCACAGTTTGTGATTCTCCAAATATGTATGTATGTATGTATGTATGTATGTATGTATGTATGTATGTATGTATGTATATTTTAAAAAGATGACATACCACATGGTAAATTGTAATGTGGCTGTTGGATTTTGGTATAGCATATTTTGTGAATTGAAACTTTATAGCTGGTAAACCATGGCTTGCAATTCAATATGGCGCATAAAGCCCCCAGCTATGATTTAACAAACTATGTCTGTGCCAATTATGGGCTTCAAGTGACCTACATATATATTTGAAGCCAAATTTGTACACCACACTAAGCTGTGAAATGCTCTATGGACCTAACCCTCAGTAGATTATATAGAGTACACTAATGTTAGGCAAACCTTGACCTAGCATGATTTATAAATAAAGTAAAATATGGACCAAAGTGTTATAGGTTAAGCTAGTTAACCTAGGTTAAGCAAAGCTAGAAAGGCTTTGTTTGAGTTTATTAATGAGAAAAAGTTAATTAAAGGGCCACTTCACCAAGGCAAGTAATAGTTTAAACCAGTTTAACTAGCCCAGACAAGATGATTAAGAACTGGTGGAAATTAGGACCTCCTGCTGTCATAGACCAATACTGATTCTGCCTTGAAGGATAGGAGTATGGTCTCTGAACCACTACTATAAAACTTGCAGTGATTATTTACTTTATATTCAAGTGATTTTATGTATAGTATTGTATGCATGAATATGCTTATTGTAATACTATATGACCTTGTTAACTTTCCATCTTCTGGAAAGTTATGCTGCCTATTTAAGGGGGGAAAGGTAAAGAAATTCCCAAAATTCCCTGTGTACTAGGAAATAAGCCTTATGAATTCCATGCCACTTGTTTTAGACAGATTATATCTCTGTTCTTTTCTTACCACTTTAACAATCAAACGTCATCTCCGTGGTAACAAACTGTTTAATACCCCTTTCGCAAACAATGGGGGCATAATCCAATGCTCAATTCTCAAAGAATGAATTTCAGATGCAAAGCTATGGCTTAACACACGTGTGAAGCAAGTAATTATTTATCAGTGTGTAAAACAGAAGCTGAGTCACTTGTAGCAATCAATTATCATATGGCCATTTTTGAATGGGGCACTTTACAACAAAACAAATTCAACCCTAAGGAATTTACAGGCTGGGTTTTCAGAATATTGAACTATGGGTTTAGTGTGAAATTTAGTGTTCTTGGATGAAGACCAAGACTATTCCAAATAAGAAAATATCTATAGCTCAAGTTTGAAGTGTGGAATTCTTGGTGCTAAGTTTGGTTTGTGTCCAATGATGTTACCTAGCTGAGTTATAAAACATCTGCAAGCAAATAACCAAGTCAAAAAGCACCCAGAACTCATTTTTATGTCTTGATCCATCCCACTTTGAGCCAGCAGTCCAACTTAACTCAAAGGATTATTGTTGTAGGGAAAACCTGTGGGTTAAAATTAATGAGAATAGGATAAGCAACAGAGTCTGTGATATTAAGCAAGAAACTATTGAAAGTGTAAAAATATTTCCTGGAAGATTATTCTTGCAGCTGAAAATATCACAGAAAGAAATTCTGTGGAATAGACAACATCACCACTAGATGGATCTGTAGCTGGCTGACAAACGAATAGTCCTCAATGGCACCACATCCACATGGAGAGAAGTAAGCAGTGGAGTACCACAAGGTTCCGTCTTAGACCCAGTACTCTTCAATATCTTCATAAATGACTTAATGAGGAAATTGAATCAAATTTGTCATCAAATTTGCAGATGACACTAAACTGATAGCAGTAGCCAACACCTCAGAAGACAAACTCAGGATCCGAAAACATCTTGACAAACTTGAACAATGGGCCATATCCAACAAAATGAGTTTCAATGTGGAGAAAAGCAAAGTTTTACATTTAGGCAGGAAAAATCAAAGGTACAAGTACAGATTGAGTGAGACCTGGCTCAAAAACAGTAACTGTGAGAGGGACCTTAGAGTCCTAGTGGATGATCACTTGACTATGATCCAGCAGTGTGCAGCAGCAACCCAAAAAGCTAATATAATCCTGGGTAGTATAAACAGAGGCATAGAATCAAGAACACGCGAAGCACTAGTACCGCTTTATAAAACCCTAGTAAGACCACACCTGGAATACTGCAGCCAATTTTGGTCACCATATCACAAAAAAGATATTGAGAGTTTGGAAAAAATTCAGAGAACAGCAACTAAGATGGTCAAAGGCCTGGAGACTAAAACATACGAAGAACGGCTGCAGGACTTGGGTTTGGCTAATCTAAAAAAAAGGAAGAAATAAGGGAGACATGATAGCGGTATTCCAGTATTTGAGGGACTGCCACAGAGGGGGGGGTGTCACGTTATTCACCAAAGTACCAGAGGGAAGGACAAGAAACAATGGTTGGAAACTGATCAAAGAGAGAAGCAACCTGGAATTGAGAAACTTCCTGACAGTGAGGACAATTAACCAGTGGAACAGCTTGCCTCCAGAAATGGTGGGCGCTCCATCACTGGAGATTTTAAAGAAGAGACTAGACAGCCACTTGTCTGAGATGGTATAAGTTCTCCTGCTTGAGCAGGGGCTGGACTAGAAGACCTCCAAGGTCCCTTCCAGTTCTACTCTACTCTATTCAATATTTACTTGTATAAATTTAATGAATCTTATATATACTGTAAGCAGCCCCCCAAAAATGTATCAGTCTTCAATTTTTGAGACTGTAGAAATGAACGTATGTGTTAGCATGGAAATCAGAAGAAATGCCCTCAGTTTGAAAAGACAAGTGAAAATCTAAGTCAGGCTGACCTCTGGTGGAGAACAGAAGGAATATCACACCTCTGCTAATGCAAATGTATAAAAATGAAATAAATGATGCATTATGCTGCACATATGCATTGGAAAAATATTTACAGCAAACCCAAAACTTTGTGGTTTTGCACTTCTACCACTGGAGTGAACACGACTAAGAAAGGATGACATCACCTAAAGATGTCATATCAAGTCTCAATCTACAAGGATTAACGCATCCTCCTCAGTCTCACAAATACTAAATCTAAACAATTTGACAGAATAAGACTCTTTATTTTCCTATCAAAATCTTTCACCCTGCTCATTTATCATTTTAAAAAACAATATTTTCCTTTTTTTGTGTACAATGGAAACAAAACACCCATAAGTCTCTTTTTCAATACGAATTTTCCTAAGCAGGAAATACACTGAATGTAAATTTCTTACTGCGAACCACTGAAGGCTGGGTCAGGAAATAAAGCCAGGATAATCAATATAAAATGTTAACTAAAATCAATGTGGAAATCATTAAAAGTATAGAAATGTTTTTTGAATAAAGCTGCATTACTTTTCTTAATGGTTTTTCCATAGCCCCCTTACAGGTACATGGGCATGTGCATCTCCCTTTTAAGCTTTCTAATTTCATCACTCAGTTCTCCAGATCAGGAAATTTTAATTTTTCCACCCATCATTGTGTAGAGTACTAGAGGATCCAATTAGCATTTGAAATTCCACACCATGATTTATCACACTAGCTTGTAGGGAGCCTTGACTGCATCCCCATGTACATATAGGAACTGCAGAAGACAACTTACGTACACCGGTGTGCCCTGCAACTATATTATTCATTCCTTGTTGCAAGTAGACATTATGTATCTCTAACACAAACACAACTCTTCCTTGCACATACCCCACTGTATCTGCAGCTGAACCTTTCTGCTGTACTCACTAGATCTGTTCTCTATTCTGGATAGCCTGGGGAAACAATCCAAGTTTCTTTTCAGATTATTTCTTAATAATAAACAGTGCTATAAATCCTGCTACTGTTCACAGATCTCTCCTGCAACTGGTTCCAATGAAACAAAACTGCAACTGGGCAAAAAGAACTTGACCAATGCCTGTACGGTTAGACTGATTATTCCTATAATCAAATGAACCATAGTGATCCTGCTGGTTGTGAATCCTTCCTGAATAAAATTCAAGTCCTCAAGGCTTGTTGGGTTCATCAGGTGATACATTTAAGGCAGGTTTTGTGCTCTTATTGGATTGTTTCTGGGAGCGTTGCTTCTTTGGAACTTCAGCAGCTGCTACAGATTTTTGTAGCGGTTCATCATTATCCTCTTTTACTTTCTTTACCCTAGTTTTGCTTTTGACAGGGTTGGAGAACGTAAGGCAAGTTTTGTTGAATTCCATGGGGAAAATTCCCACATCTCCATCAAAGCGATTCTTGGAGACCTGTAGGTAGCGCCTGCCTGGTCCTGTGGTTAATTTCCTATCCTGCAGGATCAACACATTGTCAGCCTCCTGGCTGGCCTGCAACAGAAAGCAAAACACTGTGATTAGAACAGGGCAGACAGAAGGATTGATTGACTGGATGGATGGGTGGATGAGTGGGAATTTGCCTAGTTCCTTGGAAAACTTTACCAAGAAGGATTTACCTTTGCAGATCCAAAAATGGAAGATGTTTGCAGCTCTTTTTCTTCATCTTCCTTCCGGGGATGAATGATCAGAGTTACATGGCAGTTGTTGTCTGTAGCAAATTTTCGGAAGGTACCCACAATGTAGTCTTGGAGGGCAAGCCTGGGAAGCAATAGGGCAGTATAAATAACACAAATTGCTGTAAAAGTGCATGGGTTATCTGGAAAAAATGTGTTTGTCTTTCTCGGTGAACAAATAGTGTTAAATTGACAAGAGTGTACAAAGCAGATATTTAACACTCATCTTTAGTACACACCCTGAAAAGTGATGGCATTAAAAGCTATGTCAATTTAGGTCAGAACAGGCATAATGATCCTAAGCAAATGTTTAACTATGAATAAGCAACTGGAAACAGGATCATGGGATTTGTGAATTCTCTTCTCATGTCTCTCAAGGCAGCTTGCAAAATGTGGTGGACAGAGCAAAAGAAAAGGAATAATGTTGTAAAGTGTGATTCTATGCTAAGGAAACATGAAATGAAAGGATTACCGGTCGATACTGAGTTGCTCCTGGCCCATCATAAACTGGAGATTATCAATGACAACATGAGTAATATCATACATGTACACAGCATGGAGCATGGTATCAATTACTGTCCTGCAAGAAAAAAATTATCAAAGTTACACACGTGTAGAGGTTAATTTACTCTGCCATTCCTAGCTAGGGAGAGATCAGATCAATTTCAAATGAGGAGTTTTTAAACAGAAAAATTTGCTGCAGATTAAAACATGTCTGCAGTCTCAATTAATTCAGAGCAACAAATACATTTATAAAATTAATGACTAAATAAGGTATCTTAAAACCCTCAGAATCCTAGGAAAAATAATTTCATTAATAGCAATCAGAACAAAGAATGAAGAGCTAAACAACTTCTCTGAAATATTCCTTTACACATTGCGATATACAATTTGTATCCTGCATTAAAGGAAACCACATGATATTGCATATCTAAGGGGAACCAATTGCCCTAATGCAGTGGTTCTCAACCTGTGGGTCGGGACCCCATTTGGGGTCGATCGACCATTTCATGGGGGTCGCCAAGCAAGGCTGTCCGCCATTTTTTTGTCCGCCATTTTTTTTGTCCGCCATTTTTTTCCCCTTTTCCGGCGGGTGCCTTACCTCCCTTGGGCTGGGCCAGCTGGTGGTCGGCCTGCTCCGTCTCTGCCGCTTG